ATTCAAATAAAATTTTGAATTACACAAAACTAAGAAGATTAAATTAATCACTGGATTACAAGACTAACAATCATCTCGATAGGCTCAAAAGTGAGTCAAAACTACAAATAGGAAACTGAACAACACCAGGTATAAATACCTTCATTATTAAGTTACAAAATAATTGATACCTTTAGATGAAAATGTCAAAATGTATGGATCTAATTTTCCTACATTTATTTGTATATCTGACACAATTTAAATAAAAATATAGCTTGTGGTAAAGGTGATAGAATCTGATAAACAGAGTAACACACATTTGTTTTTAAACCTTTGTGTTGAAAGACACTATAAACATAATTGAAAAATGAAAAGTAAACAGAAAGAAAAATTGTACAACACATGTGTTAAGGTTTAATACTCAGGACATAAAAATCTTATAAAATATATAAGATCAACAGTAAAGTATAAAAATAAGCAAAGGACCAGAAAAGGGCATTCACAGAAAAATAAAATGCAACCAATAATTAAGGTTTAAGAAGATGCTTGGTCCTAAAAAATGTGAAACAAAAATTGAAAGAAGGTCTGAATAAGCTAGTAGAATGTCTCACACGTGCTGTCTGCTGTGGTAACCGTAGCTCCAGAGAGCTAGTAAGCACTGGCAGTGGACCCTGAGACCGAGGACCTGGATTCTTAATTGTGTTTCAATTTAAATAGTCACCCATTTTGATATTGTCTCCACTATAAACAACATAGCTATGAATAATAATTGATTGATTGAAGGTCTAGGAAAAGGATAACAATCACACCCTAATAGTATGGTATTAAGTGATAGCTTTTAAAATGGTATTTTGGAAGAAAGGTTCTAATATTTCTTATTGTATTAGTATTCTCTCCAGTGTAGCAATTAAATGAGTAGAAACTTTTGTTACAAACTACTCCTATAAAGGTATGTAAACAAGGTGAACATATATGTGTGTGTGTGTGTATGTATGTATAGACATACATATATTTGTGTATATGTCTCTGTGTATATACAAGTAGTTTTATTGCAACATTTAAATAACCATACTGTCCATCAATAAAGGATTGACTAATCTAATATACATTTAGGCAATATAACAATATAGCTTTTAAAAAATGAAGTTAATGAATACATAGTAACATGAGAGATTTCTGTAATATGTGCTGAAATGAAAAAGCAAATTAATCAATATGTAATTTACCTTGTAACTTTCTATTAACTGAAATGCTTCTAGTAACTAAAATATAATATGTTGCAAGTAATACATGTCCATTGCAGATAGCTAGAAAAAAAAGCAAATACATAGAAGATATTTAAGACTATTCATAATTTCATCCTGGATTAAGGAGCTTTATTAATATTTCAATATACAAATTATACTGTAATATTGTTCTATCATTTCTTCAATTAAAACTATGTCACAGCTTCGTGTATCAATAGTGATATATGAGTTGAAGTGCTTCAGTGTTCCATTGTGCTTATTTTAATAGTTTTAATAGTTTATTTCAACATTCTTGAAATAATAAGTCTTTAGGGTTTTTTCCCAATTTTCCACTATGCACACTAATGTGACTGTTCTTTCCCAGTCCAGACTGTGCATATGCTATTAATGGCTTGGAAAGAAATTATTAGAAATCAGAAAAAAAACTATTATTGGCTCAATAAGTAGACTTTCTTTTTAAAGTAAAGCTGACCAATAATTTATTGTTTGATATTCCCACTAACAGAATAATATATTTTCTAGATGAAGAGGAATATAAAAACTGAACTGGATATAGTCTTTGGAGTCATGCATTCAACTGTCACAAATTAATTGCTTCCTATGAACCTTCACAAAATAATTAAGAAAGTGTTTGTAACTGAAAGAATTTATTCTGTGGCCATACATTTCCTCTTTTTCTTGTTCCATGACTTCTTCAAGAAAAAAATACATATTTTCAGTGAAAACCTGACCTAGAATATGCTGAGTTCTTGCTACTGCTGTAGTGGATTCTGAAGCAGAAAATACAAGTGTAGCTCAAAGAAATGCCATTCTTCCCAGGGTGAAACAGAGGATGATCCATGGACAGGATGTACCATCACAGACAGTGTTGTGGCCCAGTATTTGCCTGGATCTGGAAGACCAAAGGAAAAAGGGAGAACTTTAAGATGAAGCTTTGATCACTGGCAGGAGGAAAAACAATTCTTTATGTTCTCTGTGAAACTCTGCTCCGATGCAAACCCCTGAAAGAACAGTCATGCTGCTGGCCACATCTGGCCAAAGGCCTATCCATTTTTAGTAAGGACAGAGCATCATAATCACCCTACTATCTGTCTGCATTTTGTGGACTACATGGTCATGTGAACCGAATTGTTCATTAACAGTGAACATTTCTCTCTTCACTGTACATGTCCAGTTACTTCTTAGCCAATCTTTTTTATAAACTATAAAAAATCCCCACATAAAAATATCTCTTTCCAATAAATCCCTAAAAGAGATAAAAGTATTATTATTCAAATCAAGACTATTATTATTCAAAACAACAAACTCTACAGAACAGGAATAATTACACCTTATAGAATTCTACTAAGAAAAAAGAATTTCTATCAACGTATTTCACAATAGCATACTCTAAAAATGCCCTATGCTTCCTGCTGTGTTCTCTTTTTAGTCTGAATTAGTTCTTTAATCAAGAAACAGTGCTCTGGGGCCAGTGTGGCAACATCAACAACCATCAGCTACCGGACTGAATAACTTCAGGTTGCTTAGGTGCATGGATGGAGGTGAAATGCACAGAATGTGGGTAAACATACATACACACACAGTAAAGAGGAAAAAGAAAACTGGGGAAAACTTGTTGATAATTTAGTTCAATCCAGTCTACTTTTGTACAAAACAAATTAAAGCATACCATGCCGGTGTGTTTTTATGGTTAAAAAGAAATCTCAAGTTGGTTATAGATTTGAGAGATACCAATGTGAAGTAGTCAATGGTTTGAATTACAAAACTCCACAAACGAGTTCAGGTTCATTTCTCTGAGTACACACAGTACCAATACTAAACTGTGTTCTGCTAGGTATTCCTAGGAGATTAGTGATCATGACTTGCTGTGAGGTTACTAATTATTTACTTTACATGTGTATATCCTAACTTTTTGAAAGTACAAGCCTTTAGGAGTAAGCAAACTTACTAATATTATTAAACATTAAACATCATGTCTATGCCAGTTACTATTCAAGTGTTTTGTCCACTTCTGCAGTTAATCTTTACAATAATCCTATATGACAGACGAAAAATAACTTGCCTCAAATTTTGCAGCTAGTATTTTTAAAAGCTAGGATTGGCCCTAAAGTGTATCTAACCTCAAAGTTTCAGATCATTAGGTACTGTGCTGCATAGGGTTTACTCCTGAAAATATCAAATACACCACTTGCAGCATTTTCACATACTTCATCTTTAACAGGCCTTTTTTCTTAACAATGAATGAATTTACATTTAGCTTCTGTCTCAAATTCGTTGCTCCACACTACTTTTAGCTATATGTCCTTTTTTAAGATGAAAAGATCATTAATGAATTGATAACGCCCTCAAGCAAATTGCCTACCTTTTCTAAAACCCTATGTGAGAAAAGGCAGGGTTGAAAGTAACTGAATTTGTAAAACTTACCTGTGAATATTTTTCTTTGCTAGAAATGAAGCTATGAAAATGGGTACAAGGAAACTGGGAGTAACTGAAAAAGACTGCAAGCCTACAAAATGGGTGCAGCAGAAAGGAAGGTGAAATGCCAGACCCTTTCACCACCGGAAGCCAAGGTTCCCACATTCATCTCTCAGAGGATCCCTTGCCTTGTGCAGGGTTGATGTCTAGAAGTTCAGCTCATGCCCAGTGCATGCAGAAGGCTCCCTGGGCTTCCATGCGAAGGGAAGTGGCCCCTGGCCGAGCCCACACCTGGTCTGACAGCCCGCTGCTTGGGCGCCATGGTAACAGGCCACCCTCAGCGCGTCCTCAGGTTGGTCCCCAGCTTCGGTAACTGTCCACTCCTCACTGCTCCGCCAAAGCGCTCAAACTCCTGCAAAACGCAAGGCGAAAATACAGATTGCTTGAAAGTAACCTCTGCTTTTTCTTTCTGAATGTACCTCTCCCATGGACAACAGAGTCTGGCAACACGTTTGAACCTAGGGAACATAATGAAAGAAAAGCAAAAATAAATGAATGTGTTAATTATCTTGCCTACAATTAATATGTAAATTTTTCCTGGTCTCTAGGTCACTTCTCATTTTTCATCTACACATGCTCCATGTTTTATTCTCTTTTTCTATTTCTCCCATATTTTCCGTTTTATTCTATCTCTTTCCTGAAATAGTGGTACTTTGAAGGACTCCATGTGAGGTACACCTATTTTTTTGAGACAGGGTCTCCCTATGCAGTTCAGGCTGACCTTGAACTCACCATGGGACCCAGGCTGGCCTTGAACTCTCAGCCATCCCCCTGCCTCGGCCTCCTGAGTGCTACGATTACAGGTGTGTGCTACCATGTCCTCTAACTTACATTAACCTGGGAAAGAAACACCTTGAGTCTTAAGCAGTATTAGCCGGTGCTCACCTCTGTGCCTTGGGAGTTCTGAAGTGTGTGTTTGTGTACCTGTGTGTGTACTTGTGTGTGAAATCGTGTTTCTTTTTCCTTCTCAGCCATGTTTGGTAATAATGATCGCAATGGTCTTAATGGAAGTCCAGTCCAGGAACCTCGCCCACTCCCCTGCCAATACAGAGGGCATACAACCAGTCTTCATAGTTTAGGTGATACGATCACCTCTCTAATTTGAAAAAGCTACTTTTCTGGCTTTTTCCAACTTTCTTCAGACACCGACACTAATTTTTCAAGTTCCCAAGCTCCATAGCCACTTATTTCACCCAAGCTTTGGAGTCCTCCGACATCGAGCAGATGTTGGAGGAGCCCCAGAACACCGTAAATTATGGTGAATTGATTTGCTCATTTCAGAGTTGGACAACGCAGCTCCAGAGCCTGCCCTGCGTCTGCTGCAGGAAGGGAAGAGCGAAAAAGCAGCCGGCCGCAGATCCTGGACAAAGTGTCTCCTGAGTTTCAGTAAGTGGCTCTGTCACATAAAACTTATGTCGGCTGTTAAGTGACCACGCCAGCTGCATCCCATGTGCCACGCATGCTGTGGCCTTTTGTCCCCCTTTGGTTATTGTGTCTATAAATCCATGGGGCCACCTGTGCAGCATGCTCTACGCACGGCCCCAGAGGAAGCGTTAACATATCAAGCCCCATAAAGCACCAGTCCTTAAATGTAAAAACTGACACTTTCATCCTCTCTGAGCTACATCTGTATAGATTTCTTTTGAATGAAAAAAGGGTTATTTTTCTGCTTACAGTAAAATGCCTGTGTATGTTGTTACATGATTAATGATTATATTTTTTAAATTTCTGCTAGTGTGAAGCTACCTAATTTATTCTTTGCAACTGTATCAGTCCATGATTAAAACATTCATTCCTATCAGTAACTCAACATTCATTTTAATCATGAAAATGACCAAGGCCAGGTGCCTGACAAGCATCAACTCATAGAAAAGGAAGAAAGGAAGAAGGAAGGAAGGGAGAGAGGAAGGGAGAGAAAGAGAGAGAGAAGGAAAGGAGAAAGAAAGAAAGAAAGAAAGAAAGACCTCAATGTATCTTTATCTTTTTTTGGTTGTCTTTTAAATTCTTTCTCCTGAAAATTTGTTATCTACTAGAAAAGTCTAATAATACTGCACAAAATCCATTCCTCTACTTTGCTTCTCCATTTTAATGTATTTAACAGCATTTTGAACATTTTTCTATTAGTATTGGGCCGGAGGGGTGTCATTATTTATTCATTTTTCTCTTCTATTACAGCACGAGCCCTAGCAGTAGCTATTAGAGGTTGGATGGAAGGTAAGCAGGTCATTCGAGGACTTCTTTGTGTATATATGTTCACCTGTGCACACTCCCACCCCATCCTAATGACCAACAGAGCACGGGAAAGTGGAGAACAGAGAATAAAGAGCGGCACTGTGTACAGTTACAAAGTTATCCTCTGTCAGGAGAAGATACAGTGTGCGTGTGCTGTGCATGTGCATCACTACGCACCACACAACAGACATGAACAAACTGAACAACTGGAACAAAGTAAAGCAAAAACTTTTCACTCAAGTCAGCCAGCATGAATAATTTCAAGTCAGCCTGTTTACCAAGCCTGTGATGACCAAAATGCAATGTGTTTCGGTGATTGCTTTCCAATCGCCACTGTGCCCCCACATTTGGTGGAGAAAGCAGAAAAGGTAAGGGTGTGTGGGGCAGAGAAGACTCAACACTGACGGCTCTGGTGCGTGACAGCAAAGCTAGTGCCGTGCACAGAAGCGAAGACAAGCTGCATTCTGTAGCGGCCATGCTGGACACGGGTCCCAAGCGATAGCCGGACTCGCACCTCCACCATATGCTCCAAAGCTGGGCCCAAGGGCTGTTCCCTTCCACCAGCCCCACTGAGAGAGCCCTGGGAGCCGTCGTCGAAGCGTAATCACTGTTTCAGAAAAGCACTCGTGACGCTCCATGGGCAACGAGAACCACGTTCCCTCCTTGCTGGGAAGCGACGACCGGGAGCCACGGGCTGGGCAGGCGCGGATGCTGGCTGAGGGTCGCAGTGTGCAGAAGGACTTACCCTTCCCTGAGGTGGGGGCTGGCCTCTGTCCTTGTCCTCACCGGGATCCCAGCACAGCGTCTTTGTTGCCTGGGGCTGTGGGCCGCACCAGACATGGGACCCTGTGTCTTCTGCTCAGCTTTGGGCCACGTGGCCACAGCCCCACCACAGAGCGACTTGAGACGGAGGGCATCGGCGGGCCCGGGAGCACTGGAGGCTGCCCTCAGCCACCCTGGCAGCCAGCCGCATCCCTGGGCCTGGTCATGACGACATCGGGCCAGGTGGCTTCTGGGCTGTGATGTCAGACACCACTGCCAGGAAAGGGAGCCAGTCAGAGACGCCACGAGGACGGGATGGCCGGAAGGCCCTTGTTCGGAACCTTGCTGAATTCTGCCCCACGAATCACCCTTTGGCTGATTCTTCTCTCTTCCCTCCCTGCAATGAACTATAAATAGGAACAGAGCCATTTTCAGTGAACTCTGAGTCCTCCTCAGAACTGAAGGTGGTCTTGGGAGCCCTGAATTCTGCAGGTGGTGTCACAAGTGAGAAACCAAGCAGGCTTGTGAACTGTTCCATAATTTTATACAGAGCCTTGCTGATCACACATTCACGTGTGCGCGCGCACGCACACACACACACACCTACGCACACCAGGCCACTGTAACATGGGTTTCAGATGAGCAACTGACCTGCACTTCAGGGGATCTTCTGGGTCTCTTTTGGGCTACAAAGCCCACATGCTGCTTTCAGAACGACTGACCTGCTGTCTGCCGTGGCTCCAGAGGTGACAGCCAGCCAGGGCTGGGCAGCTAAGCAAACCCGCCTATTTTGCGCAGCTTACATAGTAATTTGTTCACTGTCTCCAGAGTAGCAGATGCATTATTTTGTTTTCCATTGTCTCCTGATCCAGAGCAGACAGCCAGAGCTGAGCATTACTTTGCTATTTAGATAATAGTTTTGGTATTTTAACCAGTGCCGCCTTAAAGACTTGACTCTCATACTCACATCAGGATCATGGACATACCTGCATGAACAGTGCCCACCCTGTGCCAGGAACTACTTCACGTAGGTAAATTACTTTAGGTAAATTGACTTTCAATCCTCACAATCACATTCATGTCCATTGTGACTGCTGTAGACCCATTTATACATTTTTACATGAATAAGAGAGAAAACTCTTCTGTATCACTGGACAGCTAAGTTGACTGATTTAAATAATTTGGTGGTCCTTAAAAAGACCAGTTTATTTCAGCAGTGGTCTTGGCCTGTTTTTGCTCAGATCCATGGTAAGAATTTTTAGTGCTGATCTTCTAGAAAGAGCATACTGAGATCACTAGTCCTCATGAAAACATCGTTTCTAAGCCTGGCTACAAATGAGGACTTACAGGAAACCCCAAAGGGACCAGGGGTAGGAGAGCCGAGCCGGGAATTTGGGAAGGGAAGCCAAGTAAAACTCTGAGATGGTCTAAGGTCTTCCAGATGTGTTAGGCATTGCTGTGTACAGTGAATAAAGGATGCTAAGAAAGGGGAATGGTTCCTATAGGTCGCATAGTATACAATCTTCTGATTAATTTTTGATATGTCTAATTGCCAGAAGTAATTTATATATGTACAACTGATGCTCTCTCTTATTGTGTAGTAATAAAAACAGAATGGTGATAGCATAAAACAGACAAGCAGACCAAGGAACTGAATAGAGAGTCCAAAAATAAATCCTTGTATTATCAGTCAATCTAACTTCAACAAAATTTGCCAATCTTCCTCCTCAGTGGAGAAGTGGCAACCTCTGTGATAACGATGTTGAGAAAACTGGACATCTACACGTAGGACGAAACGGACCGTTACCTCATGCCATATGCAAAAAGCAATTCAAAGTGGGACAGAGACTTAAATATAAATCCCAAAATGTAGGACTGGAAAGTAAAATGACTAAAAAAGAACATAGGAAATATTTTTCTTGACATCGGTCTAGAGGATAAAATTTTATTATATAATCCCAAAGCACAGGCAACAAAAGAAAATAGACAAATGGAAGTTGTTAGGGTTTGGGTGTAGATGTCCTCCCCAAGCCTCATGTGGTCCTAGGCCTGATCTCAAGTGTGTGAAGCTGGAATTGATTCATGATGCAATGCTAGGCTCAGGGGTACAGGATTAAGGCTGTGAGTGCTGCCCGCTCTGAGTAGTCTGAGTAAGATAAAAGGGGCAGGAGGAGTGGTGAACTCTCTTGTTGCCTTTGCTGCCTTGTGTGCACCATGTTGCTTCTGCTCTGCCATGCCTGTTTTTCATGCCTGGAATTGGCTGATTATGGACTGAAACCTCTAGAACTGTAAGCCAAATAAACCCCTTCCCCTCTAACTTGGGGTGTCCGGTATTTTGTCTCAATAACTAGAAAAGTAGCTAACACAGTAGTGCATCAAACAGAAGCTCCATATGGCAAGGGAAACTATCAACAGAGTGACGATACAACATACGGAATGAGTGAAGATATTTGTAAGCCATATGTCTGATAACAGAAATTTACAAAATCTCTGACAGCTCAATAGTGAGCAAGTAAAGAACCCAATAAAAGATGAGCAGAAGACATTTCTCCAAAGAAGATACACAAATGGCTAACAGGGATATGAAAAAGCTCTTCATCACTAGTCATGAGGGAAATGAAAATCAAGACCACAACAAGAAACCCCTCACACCTCTTAGAATGGCTATAATCGAAAGGACAAAATATAAAAAGTGCTCTCAGGGGTACAAAGGGACCCCCTGTATACTACTGTTGGGATGGTAAATTGGTGCTATACTCAATAGAGAAAACAGTATGGGAATTCCTCAAAAAATTAAAAATAGACTTCTACGTGATCCAGCAGTCCCACTATGGAGTATATGTTTAAAGGAAATGACCACCTCACCCCAGAAAGAATGGCTGCTGTCAAGAAATCATCATCCAATCACAAATGCTGGCAGAGTGTGGGGAAAGAGGAACCCTGCTCCACTGCTGGTGGGAGTGTAGACTGGTGCAACCACTGTGGAAATCAGTATGGAGATACCTCAAAGAACTAGGGCTGGAAGTCCCATTTGATCCAGCTATTCCGCTGCTGGGTATCTTCCCCAAAGAATTAAAAGAATCATACCACAGGGATATATGTGCACCCATGTTCATAGCGGCACAGTTTGTAATAGCTAAAACTTGGAAGCAGCCCAAATGCCCATCAACTGGAGACTGGATAAAGAAAATGTGGTTTTTTAAATAAAATGGAGTACTACTCAGCCATAAAAAATGAGAAACTAGAGACATTTATAGCTAAATGGATGCATATTGAGGCAATACTCTTAAGTGAAATAAACAGGACAAATGTGTAACTACCAAATAGTTTCTCTGGTGCGAGAAACTGAAAGTGTAAATAAGTATTCAAATGAATAATCGATAATTTGAAATAGGAAGAAGAGGTCCAAAGGGGTAGGGGTGGTGGGAAGGGAAGGGGAAAGGAAAGGAGGGAAAAGAAAAATTATGAGAAAAGAAAAAATGGAAATGAAATCTATGTAAATGGGGAAGGGCGCACAGGGAATGGGGAAAAAATAAGAACCAAGATATATCATGTGCAGGTACAAACACCCAATGATAAATGTAAACGTACTGTATACCTAAAGTGTACCAATAAAAGAATTTAGGCAAAAAATAAATAAATAAAGGAAATGAAATCAGTTTTTCAAAGAAACATCTGAAATTTCATGTTTACTGCAGCATTCATCAGAGTAGCCAGGGTGTAGAATCAACCTAAATGATTATCAACAGATGAATGGATAAAACACACACACACACACATATACACACATATGACAATGGAATATTATACAAACAATGGAATATTATTCAGCCTTTAAAAAGAACAAAAATCTGCTATTTGGGGCAATATGGATGAGCATGGAAAACTTTATGTTAGGCAGAAGAGTCCAGGCAGAGACAGACAAATACAGCATATTCACATTCACACTCTGACTCTGAAAAGCTGAACTCATAAAAGCAGATAATAAAGTGGTTGCCAGGGAAGGGGTAATAGGACTGTGTTCAAAAGGTACAAAGTTTGACTTCTGCAGGAAGAATAAGCTCTGTAAGTCTAACGAACAGCATGGTGACTGCAGGCAACATCGTTACATGCTTGGCTTTACTGACAGTAGATCTTAAACGTTCTCACCACACGCCTAAAAAGTGTCATGATGTGAGGGTGATTTGTTTATTAGCTTAATTGTGGCAATCATTTTGCAACATCCACAAATAGCAAATGACCACGTTGCGTATCTTACGTACTTACAACTGTTCTTTGTCAATTACACTTTGGTAAATCTAGAAAAAAAAGCAAATCACACATGTATTTTGAGAATTAGACAAAAATATGTAGATGGAATTTACTGAAAAATCAAAGAATCTTATATTAATTTATATCATGATTATTACTTTCATGAATTTGAATAGCGTTATAAGAAATGAATATATAAGAAATTCTTCTCTGGAGTTATATATTCTTTTGTGACATGACATCTGAAGTAAAAAAATAGGAGATGGGAGAAAATTACTTTTAACATTAAAAGTCAATTTGGAAGTATTTTTGACTAATTCTTAAATTTTACAAAACTTAGTTCTCTAATGAAACAAAAGAGTGGGATAACAGAGAGTGAGTCTAATTTAGAATTTTTTCTTCAGAGGCACTTTTGTACTAGGTGGTACCCTATAAGAAGAGGAATTTGATTACCTTTCTTTTTCGTATCTGAAGTATTCTTTCCTTTGAAGAATTCAAAACCAAGAGTCAGGAGGACTTGGGCTGTGATTAGAATCCCTCAGGAAGGTCTGTAAGGGCACAGAAATCAAGGCCTGACTATTTCCAAATAAGTTTGCATATCGTCAGTGACATGTATTCTTTCTAGCCACCCAGCACCATGCCTCACTGCCCTAGTTTCAGGTCATCGTCATCGAGCTGCCCTGAGGAAATCCTGGAGGGTCAGACATCACATGGCCGGTGAGTGGGGCTTCCCCACACAAAGCCGGTCCACAGCCTGCTTCTCCCGGGCTCCACTTGACCCCTGGACTTGGCAGGAATCCCTGCTACACTGAGTCCCTTCCCATCTCTTCATAGGAAGGCATGTGGTGAGCACTGGGTCTGTTCCCCAACCCTCAGGTTCGTAGTTTGAGCGACTTTGACAAGCGAGAGCACCAAACATGGCATGGAAAGAACAGTCAGAATTAGAGCAAAAAGAATGAGATTCACGTCGCTTCAAGTGAACTTGAGCATCAGCTGACTTCCTAGAGCCTTAGATTCCTCTGAAAAACAAATCCACTACCCTGCTACTAATGCTAGAACGAAAGCAGTTTGAAAACTCTGAGGCATGGCTAGGTCTAGCACGCTTCCAACCACCTGGAAGCCTTGTCAGCTCACAGGGTCTGGCTCAGCGGCTCAGCACTGAGGCTGGGAATGTGCATTTCTGAGTGGCTGCCAGATGATGCTGACAGTGCTGGAACTGGGGCCATGCTTCGAAGACCACTGTTCTGAAATCCTACCCTCTATGTGTAAGTCACTAACACAACCACTGCACTAGGTGCCTTCATAGGCATAGATAGTGTATTGGAGAATCAAGTCTTGTAAAGTAAAATGCAACCCATTACATAAGGCCGGATGCTGCACATCACTCCAGCAAATAAAAATGGGCCTTCTCATCTTGAAGCTGTTCTTTAGGCAAAGTTCAACAGTTTAATTTAAAACTTGCAAAGACTCTGAAAATGTATTTGTGTGAGAGACAAATTTATTTTCAAGAGCAATGGAAAACATGCCTCCATGCAGAGCACCTGTGGTGATACCACAGTGGTCCCTCTCTTCATGTGCTCCTCCGAATAACACACCTCACCTTCCTAAGTGGGTCTGGGACAGACAGGCTCTTATAGTGGCCTCCTCACAACTGTTTCCTTTGTCTCTTTACACCATCCTTGGGATCCAATTCTTCATCTGAGAATTGCTTTGCTTTCCTCTATTTTACCACAAATTACTGTTTTGCAAGATGGAAATCGCAAGGCGTTTCAGGAACAGATCCGTTTCTGTGTTTCCCCAGGAAGACTTGGGGCTATGCCAGTGTGTTTGCATTGCAGGTCTACCTGTCAGGCCAAGCGTTAGTGCCTGTTCTAGTCCAGAACCTGGCATTAACTCCCAAGCCAGTTTTCCTATTAGTCTTCTGGCCAGTTAGAAAAAGTATCTATAGCCTAGTTTTGCCCACAGTAAGGACAGATCAGACAGTTTTGAGAACTAGACAGCAATTTCTCTGACATCACCAGCTAGCATGATTGCACTGGAAAGCTGGTTCTCCTATGAGGATGGGGTGGAAGAGCTAGAAACCAGAGACGGCTCACTTCTCACTTCCAAATTCCACACAGCACTTCCTTCTGGACAATATGATTAAAGCTTGGGTAGCATTTAGCATTTAATATAATAGCTAGGACTTTAAATGACCAGAAGTGATCATACTGAATTCTAAATCTTAACATGCACCCATGCTTATAATAAAATATTTAATTTTATTGCAAATGAATAATTAATTTACAATCCCAGCAAAAAAAAATAGATGCTGTGATTCCAATCGAAATGTTAACACTCCATGCAATAAACTAACACGAGTAAAACAAGAAATTTATAAATGTGTTATAGACTCAAATGAACCATTTGACAATGATAAACAACCCAATGTGGTATGATAAGAAAATACATCATAGGGAATATATGTCTCCTCAGAAGAAAGAAATTAAGCATTAGGCAGCTGATTCACAGACTCAGAACAATAAAGAATGGCAGGCTCTGGGCTCACCAAGCCCATGGCAAGAGAGACAAAGCAGGTTCTCCACCCCACCTTCCGTTCTGAAAGAAATAGGCACCAACAAGCTTGAGCGCCCTTCAAGATCAGCAGCAGGTGAAGGAGAAGGTGCTCTCTCACAGGTTCTCTGCAGCCTCACCCCACCCTAAGTCTGGCGTCTTCCTGGGCATGTGGTGGGGTGAAGGGACAGGTGATCCTGCGACGCTGTACTGCTAGCTTACATGGTAACCACTGTGTCTGGCGCTCAGGCCCTCCTCCCACTTCAGGAGGAGAAACAACATTAAGACTCTTTCCATGAGTAGTGAAGTCATTCTCAGTGAGTACTGCCTGGATGTTTCCCATTCTTTTTTCAAAGTCTAGGAGCAAATAAAGGTCATAAATACCCCAAGCCTGAACAGAGTGGCATGCAAATCTTTACGGCACTTACTCTCCATCAACCTCACAAACTCCTGAGCCTCTTGGACAGTTGATCTCAAATTTATTTTCCTGAACTGTTTGAAATGGCTTGTCAGATGAACCACTTTCTATGATGCACCAGAGCAAAAAAAGACTATGTGATATATTAAATAAATATATAACTATATGAAATATGCATATATGCAAAGCCACACGTAAACACAATGGTTTCCCAAAGCACTATAAAAGGCTCTTTGCTTGTTTTGTAGATTTCATAAATAAGTATTGGCAAACTACTACTGCATTAGGCACTGAACACTATAAAGAAGTGAGACCTGTCTCCCCACGGAGACAGACTCAGAAACAGACATTTACAGTGTCATGTAAAAGGTGCTATGTCTGTAGTTTTTGCATTTGCTACAGATGCAAAACAGGAGGTAGATCAGCTGCATTTCCCACAAGCTGTCGGCTGAGTGGTTTTCCTCTGTGTCCGGAAGTTTCCTCCTCACAGCTCAGGGTCACTGCCCTCCTCACTGCCTGCTGAACCAGAGGGCCAGTGCTCCACGTGGAGTCGCCCGGTGCTTCCCCTCAGCAGGTGCCTCTCGCTCCTGGCAGAAGTTCATCATCATTAGCAGGGTTAAGCATTCCCAAGACAAACATGTCCACCGATCAGCGAGCAAAGTTGATTCTGCTGCTCTTTCTGGCACATCAAAGCAAATAAAGTGGGTCACGCAGTGAGAATGGCATGGGGAGCCCTCGACTAGGAGAACGAAAGTGTAGCCTTGCACACTGAGACTGTCCTTTAACACAGACTTGAGCACTGCGGACAGGAGTCAGGCAGAATGAGGAGAGTGAGAAATGCTCGAATCACATGGTCTAACAGTTGCTATCAACACAAAGAAACTAGCACAAAGAGATTTTAGGGTTGTCACTGAACAGTATCAATGCATTTGACCGCACAATAGATTTCTCAAGAGAAGTGTACTGGGCAGAATTTTAAGATGGTCCCAAGACTCTTGCTCCCTGTGTGCACGCCCGTGTCGTCCTCCTGATGCAGTCTGTATAAAACTTTAAGTCTCGGCAGCTTGTCAATTACCGACTTTAAAGACCGAGAATGTGTTTTTAACCCTGGCTAGAGCTGAGGGTGCTCCCTAAGGACCTGGATTGATAATGTTCTTTTTCTAAAGAAAGTCAGCAGCTGTGAGAAGCTGCAGAAGAAATGCCATCCTGTGCACCAAATTTGCACCAAGTTCTCCTGGGCTGGCACTTGCCCGATTCTCTCAGGTCATATAAAAACCCTGGGTCCAGAGATCCCTGGACTCTTCCCTGGAGTGGGCGCTTTTGCTCTGGACTGGATTCATTCACAGCTGCTAATAAGTGCAGCTGGCATTGCTGAATGGCTCCAGAGGATCTCTAACAAGGACCCACCACAGGTTTCAAGCTCAAGGTTAGTTCGTTGTGAGCTAGGCAAGTTCGAAATTCTGCATGTTTTATTTTACAATCAGTGCTACTTGCAGAAAGGAGACCGAAGGAGTCTCCAGTCCTTACCATGGCTAACCCCAACTGTCACTAGTTTGCACTGAGTGTTTTTATAAAAAGGTGGGCAAACCAATTAGTTCCCTTGTTTTAAATTTGTCATTTCTGTTCCTCTTTTTTCTTTCTTCAATGCTGCAGAACTTCGACAAGGCATAATCATTGTACTGTTTCTAAGTCACCAATGCTTGCTTTGGGTTTGGACATCTTGGAATGTCTCCTAATAGAACAATAAGAAGCATTTCTTGCCATGGAGGCCAAGAGGGAAGTGAGCCCCCACACATAGCCCTGACTGTACACAGCCTGCCCCCATGACCCTGGCCGCTGCGGGTCAACGTGTGCAGAGCGTCCTGAGTCGGCTGCAGCCCTCACCTGCGGCTCCCGTCACTCGCAGAGCCCGGCAGGCAGTAAATCTGTCACTGGGGCCTAGCACCAAAGGCACCGGGCTGCTACCTAGCTTTCTAAGACAAGCCTCTGGACAGCTTCTTCCTTCCAGACGGACATGATCGCTGCACTCACAAGATCGATGCCCAAATCTTTACTTGGTTGCTTTTCCTCTTAGAAAATGTTATCAATGGAAACTGATAAGAACAAATTTCAAAGAATCATCTAAATGTACCCATCCTTGGAAAATCAAGGACATTCATTTTGTTTGGGTTTACCCGTAAATAGTGTCCTGGAGGGCTGAAGATAAACCAAGAGCTGCAGCGAGGATCGCTTCCAAGCATGTTTGTAGACTGCGATTCTGAAACTCCGTCTGTCCATGTTAGGCACCAAGCTTTGCTTGCCACCTGCCACTTGCAAAGCTGCTGCTTCCCTCTCCCATTAGTCCCACTCAGCGCTGTTACACATGATGCACTGGACCAGAAGGAGCCCACAGGGGAGGAGTGGGGGAGGCCAACATTCCCCGTTCTAAATACCAAGGCCATGCAGGGAAAATGAGGAACCCAGGCCTTACAGCCCACAAGTACCTTCAGACGCGAACTGGTGGTGTTTTACACATACAACCCATTCTGAAAATGTTTAGGGCTGTGTTTTCTCCGTAGTCATTGAAAAATTGCTCCCACGGCATAATGGGCAGACAGAATTTGGACATTAGAACTGGACTCGAATTCTGACTTGGCTACCTACACACAGATTTATGAGGATGAAATGAGAGACAATCTATGATGTGCCTGTGATTAAAAATGTATTTATTCCTTTTTAGCATTCATAAAATATCTAATTTAAAAGCAATTTAAATTGCATTTGCATAACTGATTTAAATTTTTTGCAGAATAAGTTTGTTTTGAAATCCCCCCCATCTCTGACTTGATTTCTGATTATTTTAGCTCTGCTCCTCTTAGTTGTTGCCCCCATAGGACAATACTTGCCTCATTTGAGAAGCTAAACCCCAGAGCAGGACGGTGGGCAGCAGTGTGAGATGGTCCCGAGGCTCATGCACCTCAGAGTGCCTGCCCTGGGAAGTCTGCTGGGTGTAGCCTGGCTGGGAGGGTGATGTGCTAAGCGATGGCCCCCTTGGCTAAGTGCTGCCAGTGACCAAGTGATGGCCAGTTGTGTCCCATGTGTTCATTGGGTGACTCTGCTTCAGGAGCTTAGCAGGAGAGTCTCTGGCTTCCTGGACCCTGCAGGAGGCACTGCTGTGTTGGAAGAGCCATGTGCAGGGCACTGAGCTGGCCCTGGGGACTGAGGCAGCCTCCTGCTGACAGTCAGAGAGAAAACAGGGGCCTCAGCCCTAAACCACAGCCATCTGAGTTTGCCAACAGCCTCATGGTCTGGAAGAAGACATGGAACTTCAGAGGAGAAGGCAGCCTGGACAAACCCCGGGTGCAGCCTTGGGGGGACGCTGAGTAGGGGATCCAGGCAGCCCAAGCCCAGACTCCTGACCCAGATCCGGGGTAGTATATGTGTGTTGCTTTAAGCTACTAACTTTGTGGTTATTTGTTATGCAGCATAGAAAACTGATACAAGAAGCAAATTAGCATTTCATATCTAATAGTTAATGTAAAAGTAATTCCTTAGGAGAGAATAAAGTAAGAATAATCTATTCCCTAAATCCTAGTCTGTTCAAGAAGGCATGCATATCTTCTAAGCTCTGTTAGGAATCAGCATCAGTTGGCCATAAACAGGAGGCCTAATTTTAAACAAAAGAAAAAATAGCTACACTACAATGGTGTAGAGGAGCAGCTGTGGACACAACTTACATTCTGGGTCACCTCTTGGAGCAAACACTGTTAGAAGTGCTCTCCGTTGCTCATACCCTGAAATATTTCCCTATGGCTTATAACCGAATGTTCATGAAAGTCCAAGATTGTTTCAATATTGTTTTCATGGCATAGATCTAGTGTCTAAAAGAACACTGGATCTAAATTTGTGACTGCTGAAATCTAAATTATTTGTAGGAAATCTCAGTAGACTCTGAATAGCCAAAATAATCTTTAAAAAGAAAGAAAGAGTTCTCATACTTCCTCATTTAAAAATGTACTAAAGTTACAGTAATCAAAACAGTGTAACATCAGCATAAAGACAGATAAACAAAACAGAAATACAAGTATATGGTCAAATGAATTTTTTGTTAAATTCTTTTATTGGTACATTTTAGGTATACAACACAATTACATTTCTCATTGGGAATTGTAACTTTACATAATGCATCTTGGTTCTTATTTTTA